TATTTCTCTTTCTGATGTGAAAGTGATCATTGCATATTCTACATACTAGTATCTCACCTGTTATACTTGCAAATATCATCTCCTAGCCTTTCATATATCTGTTAGCTTCATTCATACTTATGTAAACAATTTACTTTTGCCCTTTTTTTTAAGAGTAAGTGTCTTATTTAAGAAGTTCTTTTCAGGGGCGCCTGGGTGGCGCAGTCGGTTGAGCGTCCGACTTCAACCAGGTCACGATCTCGCGGTCCGTGAGTTCGAGCCCCGCGTCAGGCTCTGGGCTGATGGCTCAGAGCCTGGAGCCTGTTTCCGATTCTGTGTCTCCCTCTCTCTCTGCCCCTTCCCCGTTCATGCTCTGTCTCTCTCTGTCCCAAAAATAAATAAACTTTGAAAAAAAAAAAAAAAAAGTTCTTTCCCCTCTAGCTCAGAGATATTCTCCTAGTCTTTTCCTATTAACTTTATAGATTTACATGTTACCACAGATAAGCTCATAATACACCTGATTCCACCTTTATATATGATATTAGATAACAATTCTTTCTGATATCTTTCAATATAAAGAGTCGATTTTCCCAATATTTCCAAACATTCCATCCTTTCCCCCATTGGTTTTTAGTACCATCATTTTCCTGTATTAAGTTCTTGTATAAATATAGGTCTCTCTCTGAGCTACTTAGTTTTTTCCATTGGTCTTTTATCTGTTCTTGCACCCAAACCATGCTGTCTTTATTATTATGAACTTTTATTATTCTTAATCTCTATTAAGACAAATGCCATCTTTTTACTTTTTATTTTCAAGTTTGACTTAGCTATTTCCTGATATTTATTATTATTTGTAAATTTGAGAATAAAGTTATCAATGACTTAAAAAAATCCAACAGACATTTTGATTAAGATTGAATTAAACTTATAGATTAATGTGGGAAATAACATCTTTGTAATATTATTTATTCCATCCAAGAAGATGGATTTCTCTCCATTCATTTTAATTATCCATATGCCCTATATTAGACTTTGCTTCTACATAGCCGTTTTGTGTATTCTTAGATAAATTAATTCCTAGAGATTTAGAGTCTGTACTGTGACAGTGGATAGCATCTCATTTATTACTACATATTCTGGTTATTTCTAGTCCATTCTCTTGGTTATTTCTTTCTATTCTAGAGAGATGCTATTGATTTTTTAGGTTGATCATGTTTCCAGCACCCCTGCTGAACTTACTTATTGGTTCTAATGTTTTATTACGTGGATTCTATTCTTTTTTTCCAAGGAGATGAGCCTATCTTCTTTAAATAATGAAAGGTTTATTTTTTTCCTTCTTTTCCTTTCACATTTTTCTTTTCTTACAGCATTAGGCAGGATTTCTAATACTATGTTAAATATTTGTGGAGATAATGGATATCCTAATCTTGTTTCTCATTTTAAAATAATGCATCTAAGGTTTATCTATTTAGTGTGAGATATGCTGTAGGACTTGGGTATAGATAGCTTCCACCAAATTAAGAATATTCCCTCCTGTTCCTAGTTTTCTAAAAGAGATCACTGTAGACAGATGTTGAACCTTGCAAATGATTGTTCTGTTTCAATGAAAATTACCATGTAATATTATTCTCCTTTATTTTATTAATGTGGAGAAGTATATTGATGGAGTTTTCTGAAATCTGCATTACTGGGACAGATTCCACTTGTTCATGATATAATATTTTCAGTGCTATGTTGGGTTCATTTAACTATTGCTTTATTTAAGATTCTGCATCTATATACATAAACAAAATGGGCCTATAATTTTATTTTATTTTCTTCTCTTGTTTTTCTTCTGGTTTTGGACTCAGTATCATACTGAACTTGTAAAATGGGCTGGAACGTTCCCTTTCTACCCTCTGTGTATTATTTTCTGGAACAACTTGCATAAAATCGAATTAGCTATTTCAAAAATTTGGTAGAATTTACCTTAAAGCCATTGGAGCCTGAGATTTTTTGAGAGGGAAGGTTCTTGACTACCACTTATAATTTTTTTATAATTTATTAGTCTATTCAAATAATTCCTATAGATTTTGTATGTTTCTGGGAATTTATCCATTTCATTTAAACTTTTCATAAAATTTTCAATTTCTTAAGACTTATGATTTTATCTCTCATGCCTGAAATAACTTCTCCTTTCTTGACTATTTTTTCATGCATTCTTTTTTTCCATGATTAATCTTGCCAAGGGGTCTATATCGTTGATATTTCATAGGATCTATGTATTAGTTTCCTAGGGTTGCTGTAACAAATTACCACAAACTTGGTGGCTTAAAACAACAGAAATGTATTCTTTCACAGTTATGGAAGCCAGAAATCCATAACCTTAAAATAAAGAGATCCTCCTGAATTACCCAAATAAGCCCAGTGTAATCATGGGGTCCTTCAATGTGGAAGAGTGGGACAGAAGAGAACCAGAGAGGTAGCAACACAAGGACTCACCCATCATTGCTGGCATTGAAGGCAGAGTGAGGGAGTCACTCATCAGGTGATGTGGGCAGTTTCTAGAAGCTGGAAAAGGCAAGGAACTAGATTCATCTGTGGAGCCTCCAGGATGGAATACAGCCTTGTTGACATCTTGACTTTTCAGACTTCTGTCCTACAGAACTGTAAAATACAATTTTGTGTTGTTTTAAGCTATTACGTTAATGGTAATTTGTTATAGCAGGCATAGAAAATTAACACACATTCCAATAAGAATTATCCTAAAGAATAGAAAATCCTTGAGGACTTTTGTTCCTTTACCTCTTTTCCTGGGAAAGACCACTTTGTCCTAGGTCTGTACCCTGTCACTCTGCTGTCCCTTCTAGCTTAACACGTAGCTTAGCACTCCTTCCAGTGACCACTCTATTCCCCCCCTCAAATACACTAGCCTGGCTTACCGTAGATTGCATCTACTACCCTTACCCTCTGCCTGACTTCCTCCAAATTGCATCTATTATTTTTCAGTTGTACATAATTAAGTATGGAATACTAACAAGAAATAGTATTATTAGTATAAGCAACACTTACACAGAAATTGTAGTTCTCAAACACTTTTCAGTGAATTCACTCTAGTGAATTTTTCCCATTGACTTTCCTAGGAGTCTAGTCTCCCAGTTACTAATGTAAAACTCACATTTTACATTAGTAAAAGGGATGGTCAGGGATAACATTTCTGTGAGCCAGTAATTGTGAGCCAGGTGGAAACCAGTAAGAAGCAAAACAAACTTGGACCCTGCCTAGGTAGCACTTTCACCACAGACCTGTCTACATGTTGTCCATGCCTTAAAGGACCCTTGCCTAGTGGAAAGATCCAATTTGGGCCTTCCGAGCACCAAGTATCTCAGAGAGGAGGGAAATACTTCAGAAAACAATGCTGCTGTGTGCATGCACTTGTTCAAAGGTTAAAAGAGAAACAAAAGCCTGAGTTCTCCTAAGCAGGGCCATGAATTTCATTCAAGATCACTAAGCATTAAAAACGATTTGTTTCTGATTGTCAAAAGTACCAGAAAGATGATGAAGACACAAAGGAGTACAGGATGTGGACTTCTCTCATTCAAACTGTATCCCTAACTGTACCCTCCCTTACCTAACATCATTTGACCACTACTTATAGGCTCTCTTTTCTGCTCTTTTCTCTAAAAATAATCCTGTCCTAAGGCGGGGTGGGCATATGGAGTGCATGACTCTGTGACTCAGCATCTCACTGTCAACCAAGGTGGCTGCTGGCTGGTTCTAATTCTATGTCCAAATGGCTTCTTGTTGTGTCCTACTTCAAATGAACCCCCACCTTGGTAGGTAGATAACTAGTGCCTCAACTCCTGCCACACTGGAGCCTTGGCTTATTCTCCTTGGCTCTTGCCTTTGGGGGGACAAAGAACACATTCTGAAACTTGGCACCTTTCTGTGCATACCTCTCAGTATTCTTTTGTCAAAATACTGCATCTTCCCACATTTCTGTTGCCCACTCTCTCATCCCTTAGAGTCTTCTTGTCCATAAGAGCACTCACCATTTAGCTCCTCTGTGTCTTCCTTGATGCCACCCACCTCCCTAAACCACCAAGCTCAATGTTGGGTAACTGAACTTCCTCTGCCAGAGTCAGTTCTCCAACTTCTCCCTTACCCTTGACAATTCCACACCTTGACGCACATGTCAAATTTCCAGGTCCCAGCCATTCCTAGTCTCACCTTCTTGCCCATAATTAAACTCTCAAATGCATTCCAAAACCACTTTTTTTCAAGAGGGGCTGGGTCCAAGAATGGAATCTCTACAGTATTTATGTGATTTCTATAGGGAGAATTTAGGTTACCCTACTTTTCTTATGTAGGGGGAGCAGAAAGAGAGAAATCCAGGCCAGAAGCACCAGGTGTAAGCAACTAGGGGCTGGCAGCTGATCAAAAACTGAGGCCAGACAGAGCAAAAGGATGTATCTTAGATACAACTTGGGAAATGAAGCAAAATGATTACCTTCTGAACAATTTTCCAAGTATCTTTACCACATATTGTCAGAATAGCCCAAGAACATGAGTATTACAAGTTTTGTCTTTGGATCAAAAACAAGAGATGAAGTACTTTTTTCAAGTTCACAAAATTAGTCAGACGCAAAGTTGGAATTGAAATCAAGGTAGCCAGAGGCACCTGAGTGGCCAGCCAACTCTTGATTTTGGCTCAGGTCATGATCTCACAGTCATGAGATCGAGCCCCATGTTAGGCTCTATGCTGGGTGTTGAATCTGCTAAAGATTTTCTCCCTCCCTCTGCCACTGTGCTCTCTCCCTCAAAAAAATAAAAATAAAAATGAAATGAAATCAAGAGAGCCAACACCAATTCTATGAAGTTATGGAGTTCTATCATAGAATACATGATGGGCTGCATGATGACTCTCCTTCTGCAGCACACAAGCTGGAACAAGTTTTAAGATATCCCCTCTACCAGACTGAAGACCCCAAGCCAGGACACACACCTAACATTCCTTCATATTTTTTATTTACAGGAAATCAATGCTGAGGGGAAACCAGAGCCATATTCCTGAATTCCTCCTTCTGGGACTGACCAGTGACCATAAGCACCAGGAATGGCTCTTTACCAGCTTCCTAGTCATGTATCTGGTCAACTTGGCTGGCAACTCAGTCATCATTGCAGCCATCCGGGGGGACACCCACCTCCACACCCCCATGTACTTCTTCCTCTCCAATCTGTCCCTGGTGGATGTCTGCTTTACAACCGTCATCGTGCCACGGATGCTGGCAAACATGTTGAGCAAGACCAAGAAGACCTCCTTT